CTCACTATTTCCTGATAAGACATTATTTTGTCAGAAGACTGCAGTAGTGGTTTTATGTTTGAAATCCTGTTCAGTCTGACGTAACAAAAATTTGAAATGTCAGTGACAGACTGGAGAGCCTCTCTGAACTGTCTCAGTGAAACAGTGTACAGGCATTATGACACAAATGCATATTGTGGAGATGAGAATTCTCTCACACCACCAGAGTGCCTTTACATTTTTTCTAAAATGCAGTGATTTTTCAAATATGTATCTTAACAGTTACACATTGGAGCTCTCTGGACAGACATTATGGCTGAATTTCCCATCTGTCCCATAGCTTCGTCCTGCAGCACCATAGCTAAGTACTTCATCCAAACTGAAAATTGGTACTTCCACAGCTTAATGGTGTGCTACGTAAGGACCATGGACAGTGACTGCTCACTGCAAGTTGGTGAACTCACACTACTGCTGAAAAAAAAAAGGACTGTTTTTAAACGGTTCGACACCTTTAGGATTCTATCCGGACCTTGGTGGCCAACATACTAAACTGTTTTATTAACCTTAAACTAAATCTAGTCTTTTATTTAGATATGGTGGGATTCAGCTCATGGTTTGCGATGAAATCACCAATGTTATGATTTCCTTTGTCTTGTATCACTGTTTTCCAAAACACTGTTCTGTAGAACTGCAGTAGTAATTATGTTTAGACTTACTGGAATATGCTTATGCATTGTTTCATTCTGGAGACGTTGATCACTTCCTCCAGAATAGAATAAACTGTACATATTTGTAGCAAATCATCTTTTAATGTATTACATAGAGCAGTGTTTTTCAACCTGTGGTCTCCTCAAAGTAGGGGTAGGGAACATCCAACCCAGAAACACTTGGTCTGGCCTGTGGCAAGCCCTGCACTCCTTTTCCCACAGCCCTCTCCCCTCAATTCTTATCTCCTCTCATACTCAAGTCCAACCACACACACACACACACACCCCCACACCCACCCCTGCGCTGATGCACATGAGAGATAGCACACCCTCACCTTTTCCAGGCGACTCCCATCAGGCGTCAGATTCACCAACAGGTCCCACTACTGCTCGGCTCTTCAGGGCTGGCCTCTGGTAACAAGCGTGAAGGTGCTTTCCCAGACCCAGCACTGCCCCTTGAGGCAGTTTAGTGCTTTAAATCTTGAGTTAAGTCTTGGTGGTCCACAGCTACAAAAGATACTTCAGAGAGGTCCATGGTGAAGGAAGGGTTGAGAACCCCTGACATAGAGGGAACCGTCCTGGTAGCTTACATATAAGTGCATGTAAGTATCCTCTCTGAAACTAACCTAATCAGGTCTTCCCTGAGACTGCACTGCTAGACTCAGTTATTTCATCAAGAGCAAGTTGTTCATTCACCCATGTCTTCTTCCTAGTCATACCCAGGCATTCTCACCAGGCTGTCTCCTCTCAAACAAGACAAATAACATGGGCATCTTGCTGGTCTTCCTTTACCACAGAATATCTTCAGGCAAGCAGAATCCTTCAACTGTTCCAGCTAGTATGAGACAGCTATGAATCAGCAACATAAGGTTTTTATTTGATGTTTGCTGGATACTGCTTTGCAGAAAGGAACTGTTAATCAGAAACAACAGGAATCTGCTCTTTGCTAGTTATCTGTAGTGAATTCTGAGCTATTTCTTAAAAAAATACTGCTTACAAATTTATTGGAATCTTCCTGGGGGATCACAAACAAGCTGAAGAATATTGTTCTCAAATAATATGGGACCTGCATTGAATGTGTGGAGTTTAGGGAACAGCTGCATACATTGAGTAATCTGGAAACTTCAATTCTTCCTTTTCACATCTGCACTCAACTTTTCTGCTTTGTAAATACTTGATTTGTGTCAGGATGACAAGAAATTTACAGAAGACTTCAGCTACTCTTTGTGACAAGCATATGTAGATGCTGGGGCAGATATGTGGACTTCATGGATGTCTTTGGAACTTGAAGTGTAGAGATTTCATTTTCTCAGCACATCTACTTAAGGTAAAGATCACAGTTTCAGACCAGCTACACTTCAAACCACTTTCACTCTTTTTCATACATTTAGACAGTTCCTAAATATTCTTAACTGTTGTGTTTACAACACCTCTACTTAATGAAAGCACCAGTAGGACAAGCTCAACTTGGAATATATTTCATCTATAGCCACTGATAGTGACATACACAAAATCACTTTATTCTGTACTCCACTGTTTGAAAGTTCCTCATATATCTTATGATCATAGGCTCAGTGCTAGGAGAAGACTAAAACCGATCAGCCTACTTGGAGTTGAGTCCCTGATTAATATTTAGCTCCCATAAAGACTACTGGAATTTTCTGTGAAAGCATTTTGTCCTAAAAACTGTGCCCTGGCCTTTTGTTGTTTTTACGTTGAATTGCCCTGCTCTCTTTTCTTCTTGTTGTTCACCGAGTCCTATCTCTTGCCACTTGTTTTTGTAGCAAGAGAAACTAATTTCAGACAGGTAAACTGAAGCACTTTTTTGTTTGTTTTAAATCAACAAGTAATTTCTATTTTAGAGGGTAAGTTAATTATTCTCTGCCAGCCACTGCACAACAGACACAGAATGCAGTATTTTTGGCTGAAGCAGGAAACTAGCAAACTTCTTTGTTCAACTAGAATGAGCATGAGTTGTAAGTTAGGGATCTGAAACCTTTATACAAACCATAGAATGTTCTTTTTTGTGAACAAAAACTACAAGTAAATTGATCAGAATGTTGATACTGAACTAGGAAAGACTTAACTGGGCAAAAATCACTAACATTACTTTAAAAATGTCTGCAGTTTAAAACCAGGCTGGCTGTTTTAGGGACACTTATCACAGTTGCATTAGGCAGAACACTGCTTTTACCATTCAAACCTCTCTTTTAGAAATGATTGCATATAGAGGAGTCAGTGGATTTTGCTTATCTGTGGGTCTCCAGCCATGGATAAAACCAAAACATTTGTATATATGAACTTTGTTTAATTTTTTAAATGATGCAAAAATATAGTTAAGGCTAATGGAGAGTAATTTAATACTGAATGTTTCCTAAGTAAAGGAAATTCCAGATGGGTTTCTACATCAGCACTAATTCTTGGGTGCTTTAAGTAGAGACTACTGAACCTGATGTTAAAGGATTTTACCAGACTGGGTATCTCTATACTTGCTTTATTAACAACTCAGAGTTGGGCCATATCCTCAGTGAGTGGCAACAGCTGACAGTACCCTCTCCATTATATATGATATAACATACAATACAAAGAGTTTTTGGTGATTTTCCAGGAACTTTCACCTCTCAGTTCATCATCAGTTTCAAAAGTCCATGGTATTCCATAGTTTTGGCTAGTTCTTATCGTGCCATTCTAATTCCTCTTTGGACACCACTGTTCACTGATGCAGTCTTCAGTCATCATGGTTACTTATTTTCAGTATTGTTCCTAGAGCACCTGTGCTCTATTAATTAAACCTGTAAAACAATATCTGTTTATTATTTAGTCCTGCTATTAATAATATCCTAATAGTACACAGTTTTCTAAAGCGTGTTTGTTTTACACCTGATTGATGTAATGATAAATATTTTTATATAAATTTATATAAATATGGTTTGTATCCAAAGCTTCTATCATATTTTTGAGTATTTGTAATTGTTCTGAATCAGTAGTTGGACTAGTTGCTTCACAATTGTATTTGGAACAAATAATTCATTTTCATAATATAGCATAACAGCTTTTTCTCTTATCTAATTTGCTTTGTTAATTTCATTGAAATTCGACCTGTTACTTCAGCAGTTACCTCTGCAGATGATTTCATCTGGGATATTTCATTTACAAGGACAAGGAATTGAATCCTACTCAAAAATCATTGAACCTAGGACTTTTATAAACATGAGAAATCCTCTTAGGGTCATTTCCAAAAGGCTTAATTTCCTCTGTTCCTGGCTGCAAGTGATGGTTTCCACTTCTGAATAGGGGTTTTTGGTGAAAGCTTTATTGTTTACAGTTTTGCTATTCTAAAAGATGTCTTATGTAGCTTGGCATAAAATAATACAAATTCTTAATTATGAGTGATTTGAATAGAGGTATACCTAGTTGCATTAAATCTTAGAGCATATTGGATGTCTCTTTCCATTCATGTGGTTCAGTTGTATTTAACAGAACTGATAAAAGTTTCAGACAGCCAAGCTCTTTGGTTAATAAATTCTAACAAGCTGGGTACCTTCTGGTTAGGAGAGAATCCCAGCACAGGAGTATACTTGTCATCACGTCAAAGCTTTATATAATCCTTCAAAAAGATTTGAATATTGAGTTCTTCAAAACTTCTTTTGCTGGTTTGAATATTTTGCAAAGAAAGTTGTGGTTCTGGAATTTACATGCTCAATTATCAGTTGTTTGCTTTGAGCTATTGTTCTGGAATTGACTGAAATGCTTGTTGGTGTCCCTTTCCCTCCATTTTCCCCACTTTCCCTTCCCCCTTCCCTTCCCCCCCTTTTCCCTTACCCCCCCTTTCCCTTACCCACCTTTCCCTTACCCCCCTTTCCCTTACCCCCCTTTCCCTTACCCCCTTTCCTCCTCTTTCCCTTTCCTCCCCTTTCCCTTAACCCCCTTTCCCTTACCCCCCTTTCCT